CCCAGGTGCACACACAGACCCTGACCCCCCCTCCTCCTGCCCCCAGGTGCACACACAGACCCTGACCCCTGCCCCCCAGCCAGCTAGTTTGAATTGAGAACGCTTGGAGTGCAGTGATGTAGAGTTCACACTCTTCCAAAACACGGATCTCAGGACTGACAATTGTGAGGATTTAGGTCAGTGGTTCCGTCCTGTGCTGTGTACTGCGAAACGTCCCCAGCAGAATCAGGACAGCACCCCAAGATCCAGCGTTAGTATCTCCTCAGGCAAGTCCGTGAGCAGGCACGGCACATAGATGACATTAAAGACGTGGGTGGCTCACGCGGGTCCGGGTGAGGCTTTCCTCAGACGGGGTCTTCATGGGGTCAGAGCGCTGGGCGTGAGCCTGTGTTCAGTGCCCTCCTGTGACCGTGCTCACGTGGGGTGGAGACCATGAGTCCTCTCTGAGCCTGCGTCCTGGTCTCGAAGCTGTCTGTGACTCCGCCCAGCCGCCGCTGCTCAGCTCCCCCTGCCCATTGTCGGGGTTCACAATCTGAGCCTGCAGAGTACTTGGTCGACTGGATGCATACGAGGCTGCAGGCATTCCCAGGCCAGGGAGAGGGGCGGGTGTGTGCGTGCCTGGTGACGGGAATAAGGTGCTGCTCCACTTCTGAACTGTTAGGGACAGTTCCACAAGGGGACCCTAGAATAAGAGCAGTCATGAGGTCATGTAATGGTGGCCCTGCAGACCCCCCCAAGTCCACCTTGAAGTGTAGATGAGGCGGCAGGCTCCAGGAGTCTTAAGGCCTGGTCCTGCTGCCCACTGTTTTGACTCTTGGCTGCAGGCATGTGGGGAGGCTGTCTGAGGCACGCACAGACTCCTTGGCTGCCATGTACTCTGCTGTCCCCTGAGCTCGCCTGTCCCCTGTGCCTAGCTGTTCCCTGCTGGGAAGGGCTGGCAGCGGGGCCCCTGGGGTACGCAGACAGCTCATTCTCCCGAGCTGCTTCTTTCCAAATTGGAGCAGGCCCTCAGGGGAGGCTGACCTGAGTGCTGCCCCCACCCCCCCAGAAGTCAGGACCACAGCTGCTGACAGGGTCCTGGTGAGGTCCCCCCATGCTGGCTCTGACAGGCGCCTCCCAGGCTGAGCAAGGCATCGCCTCCGCACGGCTGTTTGACACCCTCCCCAGGGCTCATCCTGGATTTTATCCTCAACCAAGGGCCCAGACCCTGTGGCCAGGACTCGCGCTCCCGGCCCCACGGGGACTGGCGTGCACGGGGAATGCCCCAGCGTCTGCACACAGGCTTAGAGGACCTTTGTGCTGGGTGTCCGCAGCAGAGCCGGTGGGCTCACCTTGGCTTCTGCAGGGGTGAGGGTTCAGGGGAGCATGTCAGGCAGGGAAGCTGCATGGTGTGGGGGCCAGGCTGTCCCCAAGTTGTATGTCCCGCCTTGCTAAGCTGGGTTGGCCCTGCCGGACAGCGTGTCTCACGTGCCCCAACACGACCAGCACGTGCTGAGTGAGGAGCGTGGTCTGACCAGCCTCCGTCGGCCTTGGGGAGTTGTCGGAGTGGGCTTGGCACAGCCCCTCCACCCCAACATGTGCTGACTGGCACTGTGGCTGGGCCAGAGGCTCGGCTCCAGGTCTCCTGGGTCCCCGTCTGTAAGGGGCTGGCCTAGATGCCGCGGGGTCATGTGCCTGCCCGTCCACAGGTCACCAACGAGATCACGCCGGTGCTGTCCTACTCATACCTGGCGGTCCTGGTGCCGGTTTTCCTGCTCACCGACTACGTGCGTTACAAGCCGGTGCTGTTGCTGCAGGGCCTGAGCTATGTGTCCGTGTGGTTGCTGCTGCTGTTCGGCCACACAGTGCTGCACATGCAGTTCATGGAGTTCTTCTACAGCCTCACCATGGCTGCCCGCATCGCCTACTCCTCCTACATCTTCTCCCTGGTGCCCCTGGCCCACTTCCAGCGCATGGCCAGCTACTCGCGGGCCGCCGTGCTCTTGGGCGTCTTCACCAGCTCTGTGCTGGGCCAGGCGCTCATCTCTGCGGGCCAGCTCTCCTTCACCATGCTCAACTACGTCTCCCTAGGCTTCCTCGCCTTCAGCGTGCTGCTCACCCTCTTCCTCAAGCGCCCCAAGCGCAGCCTCTTCTTTAACCGCAGCATGTCCGCGTACCATGCCACCACGCCCTCTGAGCTAGACCGCATGGCTCCGGGTAGCCCTGGCAAGCCCGCAGGTGGCAAGCTCGAGCTCACACTCCTGGCCGCCTGGCAGGACTCGGTGCTTGCCCGCATGCTCCGGGAGCTGGGTGCCATCCTGCGGCTGCCACAGCTACGCCTCTGGTCCCTCTGGTGGATCTTCAACTCGGCCGGCTACTACCTGATCATCTACTACACACACATCCTGTGGAACGTGGTGAACCCCACCAGGGACAGCTCTGCAGTCTACAACGGAGGGGCAGATGCTGCCTCAACTCTGCTGGGTACTAACTCTGCCCTGTGTGACCGGCCACCCCCCTGACCCTGGAGGCTCCATAACGAGCATCCCGTCTCCCCCAGGCGACCCCATAAAGCACTTTTGACCCCAGGGGACCCCATAATGCACTGTCTACCTCAAACGACCTTGAAGGCGTCATAAAACATTGTCTCTCCCAGGGGACCGCGGGGGCCCCATAACGCACTGTCTCCCCCAGGGGACCCCAGAGGCTCCATAACGTGTTGTCTCCCCCAGGCGACCCTGGAGGCCCTTAACACGCTGTCTCCCCAGGTGCAGTCACCTCCTTTGCTGCAGGCTTTGTGAAGATCCGCTGGGCCTTGTGGTCCAAGCTGGTCATCGCAACTGTCACAGTCACCCAGGCTGGCCTCGTCTTCCTCATGTACAGCACCAGCAACATCTGGGTCTGCTACGCCACCTTCGTGCTCTTCCGGGGCGCCTACCAGTTCCTGGTGCCCATTGCAACGTGAGTCAAATATGGCGGGCAGGTGGGCTTGGGGGAGGCTGGTAACTCTGGTGTCGTCCCCCACCCCGCCAACTGCTCCAGCCACCCTGGAGCTGGGCTGGCCACACGCTGGAGGGACACGCCATCCTCCTGCTGGCTGGGTGACTGGCAGACATCCACATGTACGAAGGCAGCTTCTGGAACGTGTGGGGAGCAGAGGGGTGGTGCTGCTCTGCAGAGCTGGACCCTGAACCTGGAGGGACGGTGTGGCACACTGGGAGGGCAGTGGGGGCCCTGGGTGCCTTTAGCTGGGCGCAGTTGTCCACTGTCCACCACAGGCCCTGCCCCGGCGCAGGTGAGCCTCGTGCCGTACGCGCTGGTCTCCTGCTTCGGCCGCTTGGTGTCCAAGGCCTCCCTGGTGGCAACTGTCTGAACTCCTGCTTGGTGGCAGGGCAGGGACACCAGGGACCAGGAGTGGCCTTGCCCCGATGACCCTGCAGGACTACCTCAGGGACGTTGCTGGGGCTGGCTGCCCACTGAGGTTCTGCCCAGATGTCATGGAGCCCTCCGTCCCAGCCCCCTTTCCTGTTCCCAGGCCCCCCAGCCTCTGCCATGGCATCAGCCCTGCAGCCTCCTTCTCAGGCCAAGGCCCTTCCTGCCCTTGCCCTTCCCCTGCTGGCTGGCAGCCGTGCTCACTGCCAGAAGTGACCACCGTCCCGGCCTCGTCTTCTGCCCCAGGGGTCCCCTGATGTCTGGCTCCCCCCATGCCATGAGTAACTCAGGACCTTCCTGCACCCCCAATGCCCAGGGACATCCCGTGCTGCCTGTAGGCTGGCCCCACCTGTGCCTCCAGCACCTTCCCAAACTAGGTCCCTGCACACTCCAGGACCCCCACCCTCTCCTTCACGCTTGACCTTTTGCTAGGCCATGCTTTGCTCTTGCTGGCCTACCCTAGGTACTTACACCAGGGTCCCGTGCTTGAGCCCACCCACTCACCCTGCCCCTGCTCCTGAGACCCTGTCCAGGCCAGAAGGGTGGGGCATGTGCACACCTGGGTGCACATGTGTGCATGCACTCACACACGGCACGATATACACAAGTGTACATAATGTACACATACGCCACGCGCACGCACACGTGCATTGTGCACACGTACACGATACACTCAAGTGCACGCAGTGCATATGCATGTCCACGCACACACGCACCATGCACACACACAATGCACAGGCATGTGCCCACCCACACAACATACGTGCACAAGGACCCTTGTCCCCTGTGCCTCCTTCAGCCTTCCCTTGGACTCCCGCTCCTACCCCTCTCCATCCAGTGAGCGGGTCTAGCCATCCATCCCATCTCACTCCCAGGACTTTGGCCCCAGCTTAGCCCCACTTAGCGATGCCCCTCTTCGCTCCCCACGTGGATTGTCCCCTGGGGGCACCCTCTGGACCTCACACCCATCGGAATGGGTCTCCTCTAGCACTGTGTCCCCCGGGGCTTGTTCTTGAGATCTGGGAGTGTCTGCAGTCTCCTGACCACACAGAGGTGCCCTTCTGGGGTGGACCCTTCCCCAGTCCTCAGCCCATACCACTTCCAGGTGTGAGGCCTGCATTGAACCAGCATCCTTTCTGTCTTCAGAGTGGCCAGGCACTGCCTGGGATACCACCCCACCCCTCACCACCACAGCCATTCTCATCAGCTGCCTGTCGGCCCCACCCGAGACCTTGGCACTGCTGGGTGACGTTCCCTGCTGAAAACCTGCTCCCAGCACCCCCGTAGCATGTCAGTGACCTGTCCTCCAAAC